TGAGCATGCAGCAGTGCCAGTGCGAGGAGCCCAAGCTCCGACAGCCCCAGGGCGAGCGCGTCAGCCCTAAGCTGGAGGAGACCAAGTGGGAGGTGAGTCCCCTTCCTTCCCTCCCTGTTGCTGCCCTCCTGGTCGTGGAGCCAGGATGGGCGCAGCAGTTCCCTGCTCTGGTGTCACTCATGGCCACCAACTGGGGAAGGACAAGCCAGGTGTGATGCTCATGGTCTCCCAGGGCTGCTGTGGTGACAACTTGGAGTGCTGCCACCCCTGGGGTCTTTCGCCTCCAGCCCTTCCTCACCGTTTATGTGTGCCCTGCAGGTGTGCCAGAAGGCAGCGGAGATCTCCCTGCTGAAGCAACAGCTCCGGGACACCCAGGAGGAGATGGCTCAGAAGCTGGGTGAGATCTTCAGCCTGAAGACGCAGCTGCGGGAGGCCAAGGCGGAGGTCCAGGCCAGGGACTCCCAGCTGGCACAACTGGCAGACTCCTTCCAGAACCCCCCAGAGCCCGGTGCCTCGCTGCCACTGGGTGATGACCCCATGCCAGCATGCCAGGACTTCCCTGGCTGCGAAACCGATGACTCCAAGTGTCGGGGCCTTCACAGTGACCCGGCGGAGCCCCTGGAGCGGCAGGTGGAGTGGCTGTGGGCAGAGCTGCTGCGGGAGCGGCGCCAGGGCCAGCTGCAGGCTGTGAACTTTGAGATGGAGAGGAAAACCTGGCAGGAGGAGAAGGAGAAGGTGCTGCGGTACCAGCGGGAGCTCCAGGCCAGCTACATGGAGATGTACCACCGGAGCCAGGTGCTGGAGCGGGAGCTGCGGCAGCTGCGGTCGGAGCCCAGGGACGTCGGGGCCGACTCGCCGTGGATTGAGCGGGTGGAGTCCTCAAAGATCTGAGTGGTGGGATGCTGGCAAGACTGTGAAGAGGGAAGGTCTCTTGCTGCTGCAATGGGACGATCTCAGGGTCTGCACAAGGACCGCCCACTCGGCACTGCCCTGGGGAGAAGGACTGATTGCAACAAAGGAGCTTTTCCTTCTTGCAGTGCTTCAGGCCCTTCTGGGGGGGTTGTCTGGAGAGGGTGGGGTCATCTGTGCCAGGATCGGGGTCTTGCATGTGCCCCGTGCTGTGACTCCAGGAGTGTTTGCCCTCTGATTCCTTCTGCCATGGGGGTAGAAACCAAGCGCCCTGTGAGACGTTCCCTGTCCCTCCTGCTCTGCTGCCTCTGTTCCCTTACAACCCAGTAACTTAATGTCCTGCTAAGGAGAGGCTCAAGCCCTGTCCCCCAACCCCACTGCCTTGCTGTGGGGTTCCAGCTGCTGCTCGCCGTGGGTGGGCCCGCCGCGCG